GCATTTCCATCTCAGCCTGTGTCTGGCACTGGGTTTGGATCATGCACATGGTGGTAGCCTCGAGCCCTGCTGTGGTGAGAACTGGGTGAGCCCCATGAGGTGCCAGCACTGCCGCTGCCCGGGGTGGGAACCCAACTCCCCACGGCTGGGGATGGCAGAAAACCAACCACCTGATGCTCACCTCTAATCAGCACCTGTCCCAGTAAAGCAGGAAAGTCTGGTCCTAAATGGGCTGCCCTTGCATCCTGCTCAAGGGTCAGCTCTGGAGAATCTGTCTCTCTGCTCAGTTGGCCAGGCACAGAAATGTCAGCTCAGCTCAGATCTAGGGCTGCAGCAAAGGCTGAGGAAGGGCAGGGAGCCACTGACATGTGGCCGGTCTGGATCCAGCCCTCTGGAAGCAGGTGCATAACTCACAGGCCACTGAGACAGTGCTCTCGCCATGTACCTTTTCATGCACCAACAAAGCCAGCTGTTCGTCTGACCCTGCATGGAGGAAATTCATCTTAAAAAGGAGTTAGATCCAGGTCAGTTCTGCTCCACAGCCAGCTGCTTGTGGGACTGACATGGATCGTAGCCCTCAGGCAGGTTTTTGTTCTCTCCATCACCTAGTTTATCAGATCAGTTTCTGATTAGGAACAGGAGCAAGGTGGGAGATCCCCTGCATAGGTGATGCACCCTTTTTGGAAAGACCCATTGTTAAGCTCTGTGACCTTTCCTAGGAACAACAGGGAAAGCAAAGACCAGGCATGTACAAAAGAAAACTCCATCAGTGTGAAAGTGATTTCTGAGGTGGTGACTTGATGGGTTTAGGTTGGACTTGATGATCTCAGAGGTCTTTTTCAGCGTAATTGATTCTCTGGTTCTGTGCTACTGTCACTAACTGCATGCTCCCCAGCTCAGCCACAACTTGGATGACACCGGATAAGTGGCACCATGTCAAGAGACACCAGACCCAAAAGCAGCTCCTGGCCAAGGCATGTTTCCCCACAGCCTGGTGGCGCTGGGTTTTGTCCAGCCAGGTGACATCCCCTCCTGCTGGGGCCATCTCCGCTCAGGGATCTGTTGTACCAAACTCAGCGGTAGGTACTTGATGGAGGGCGGTTACAAAGGGAGGTGGTGATGGCTGGGGCAGGAAGGGCAGGTGGAGGAGCTATTCCCCTGAAGGTGAAGCTGTGTTTACTCAGTTTACTTGACTTAGCAAATCAGTGCCTTGTGGCAAATCCCTCTGTGAGTTGTATGGAAAGGTTATGGGAGAGCCAAGTCTGGTGTGTTATCAGAAGCACCAGCCTGCAGATACAGTAGTGTGTTTGAATCGACATTTTTTTTTTTCTATCCTCTATCTAATCTCTACCACAGCCTCATAAAAAAGCTGGGCTCTGAATTTCAGTTCCAGACTCTGCAGATGGCCAGAATCACTGCAATTCACCCATGCCCCTGCCGCAGTGGGAACTCCGAGGTGTGACCTTGTTGGCACTGCTGCTGATTTGGCTCTTCCTGTTGAGAGATCAGCCCAGACACGGTGACCTTGGCTGCTGAAAACATGGGTTCTCTCCTTCCCAGAGCTTGCACTGAAGTGGGCTCTGTGGGTCACCATTCCCAGGGCTGCTGTTGGCTGGCACGCGCCATTATCCCCAGCCTCCTCACAGGCAGGAACAAGGCTCTGTTTGCAACCGTGGTTTGGCTTTGCGTCTTCAGGGTAAACACACGAGACTCTAAACCAAAGCAAACAAACAGACTCTCACACACTTACTCCCAAATAATCTGACCACTGAGGTCACATGCCCTGACAAAGCAGCATTTTGAGAAAATGTCCACCACTGTGGACAAATGTGCACCAATCCTTTTACACACACCTCTAGTTTAAGGTAATTTTTAGCTGGTTCTGACTACCAAAATAATTTATTTTCAATGTACATCTCCAGTGTGTATTTTTTTTAATACATACACACCCAATGTTTCCTATCTAAACTACAGTAATCATGGCATGGGGTCAAAGATGCACAAAGCCAAATTCGGTGCACAGTGCCTTAGGCACAGGAATGTTCCTTCTTGACAGCTTTCCATTTTACATACAGGTATCAAATATCAATTTATACTCAGTATTAAAAAAATTACTTGTAAAATTTAACTTAAAGACTATAAATTATTCAAAATCATGTTGTTTCAGTGCTAAATTTGCCTTCCAGATGTCAAACATTTTTACCAAAGTTAAGCATAGTAAATGCATGGCCACAGGTGACAAGCTACTTACTTTATCTAGTCCAAGAAATAAATAAATAAAATATAAAATAAAAATAGTATGAGAGGTAGATGGACTCTTTGGACTCTGCAAGACTGAAAGTGTATGAGGGCACATCATCATGATCATCATCATCATGGCTAGGCTTCGCAAATGAAGATTTGGGAAATGCTCTATCCACATTTGTTACAAGCATGCTGGTGGCTAATAAGGCCAATGCGAGATAGACACATCCGATTGCAAAAGGCACAACAGAAAGACTCCTTAGGACGTATATTCTGCGAGGTATGGCTTTTTCTGCGTTGTCTTTTCTCCTCAAGAGTGATCCTGCGTGTGTTCTCAAAGGCATCAGCAGCGTTATAGATGGTGTGTCTCCAGACCTCCCAACTGGAGGCCAGAGTACACCAGTTATGATGATCAATATGGCCGAGGCCGAGATGTTGTTTGAGAGAGTCCTTGTATCTTTTCTTCGGGGGGTCCTCTCTTGTGGCAGCCGGTGGCAAGTTCACTATAAAGCAGGATCTTAGGGAGGCAGTGGTCCTTCATCCTTGAGATGTGCCCTGCCCAGCACAGCTGTGTTCTCAGCAACATGGCCTCAATACTTGTGACTGCTGCTTGTTCTAGAACAGATGTATTGGTCACATAATCTGACCAGTGGATGTTTAGAATTGTGCGGAGGCAGTGTTGATGGAAGCATTCCAGGAGACGCAGGTGGTGGCAGTAGATGACCCATGATTCAGAACCATATAAAAGAGTAGACAGCACAATGGCTTTGTAAACACTGATCTTGGTACTTTTCTTCAAGTGTTTATTACAATGAGGGCGCATATAGCTGAGGGGAAAAAACAAAAAAAGTGCAGCACACACTGGAGTGTGTGCAGTATACACTTACAAAGGGAATGTCAAAGGGCTTCTGTTCTTAAACACGTATGGGAGCAGCTGCTGGATGTTTTCAGGTTTGAAGCTAGGCTCTGTGAGAGTGAAAAAATGTGGCATTATATAACTGAGAAGGAAGGTGCAAAGCGCAGGTGTGTGGTATGTTGTTGAAAGTTTGCCATTAGAAAGAATTATACAGCAACTGCTTTTGTCCTGGTACATCTTTGTGTTTGGAGTCTCATGGACACGTTGGTCTCTGCATAACTGAAAGTGTGTGATGATATGCATAGCTGAGCAGGAAAGTGCAGAGCACCACAGTGGGAGAGCAGTTCACTGGCTGCAAGGGGAAAGTGATTGTCACTTGATTGGGATGAGAATAGAAGTTTCCAAATGTAAGGCCCCAGGGATGGCCGAGCAGAGTGGTAAAGGCTGGGAGAGGTGGGTTGTCATGGTTTGAGAGCTCCAAAATCCAATTCCCTAGTCCAAGCCCCCTCCCACATCTCAACCTAGTGTGAGATGGATTGCCAGATACCACACGAGACTCAAAATGGGGGAAAGGGAATATATTACAATGACTGTACAAATAAATACTACAATATATTATATACAATCTTAATTATCTCTACCATGACGTAAGTATTTACACTGGATCAAATCTCTTCTCCCCTCCAAATAAAAGTCCAGGAGGGAAGAAAGAAAGATCCTTTTACACTCTCAGAGCAGCAATGTCTCTAAGGCAGCAGGTTCTCTTCTTCTCATGCAGCAGCTGTAGCTTGATCGCTGCCAGTACACACGAAGGGGTATCCAAGCCCCTTGGCCACTCGTCTTCAAGTGAGGGTCTTATCTTCCGTGGACTGCGTAGCAGGGACAAAACTTGCTTCACCACGTCATATCATGGAGTGTAAGACCCTCGTGAAGGTCCCTTCCTCAGGGGATTCACCCCTGAGTCAGAACATCTTGGGCAGCTTTCAGTTGAAAGGCTTTGCTTCAAGAGTTCTACCAGAGCTCCTGTGCTCTGTCTCAGGCTGCCAGCTTGGCAGCAGCGGCGAGGGGGGGGCCAAGGTCACCCCTCTGCATTCCTTTAATCATTCCGGTCCAGCTTTCCAGGACGCCTGAGCTTTTCAGCTCTTTTCTGCAGTGCTGCTGCAGTTTTAGGACTTCCATTCAGTAGGAGTCCATCCTTTCCAATTAGGAAAGGTCACAAACGAGTTTGGGGTTTTTGGTTCAGTTTCTTACTCCAACTCTGTCTGTAGAGCTTAGGTTTGCTCTCTCTGCTGCTCTCTCTCTCGGCTCTCTCTCTCCTTCCAAAGTTCTCTCTGTTTGCTGCATGTCTGTTGTTGCTGCTCGGTCTTATCTCTCCTGGCTCTCTGCCACCGTTTCTTCGGTCAGTGCAGTTCTGCCACCGCTTTTCAGTATCTCATGCTGCGGCTCACAGTGGAGAAACATCCCCTGGCTCAGCTACAGACACTTAGTCCAGTCTTACACTGTTCCAAGTCTCTGCAGCCCCCCAGGGCCAGAGCCCCCCAGGGGGCTCCTGCCCTCAATCCTCGTGGCTTTTACAACATGGCTACTTCTCTTCCAACTACTACTAACTTTCTCTTCCGTTCTGCTTGTGATATGTTTATGTTTTGCAGAAGCGCTCATTGGGTAAAACTTCAAAACTTAAATGGTCACCGCCCCCTGGGGTTTTACCATTTTATAACTTCAGGGGGAAAACTATTTCCCCCCACCACATGGGTGCACAGGAGGAGCTGCCTGACAGAGTGCCCTCATCCCGTGCTGGGGAAAGACCAGGACTCTTTGAGTGAGTCTCAGGAGAGGTTTGCCCACCCAGCTCAGGGTTGATGTTGCCTATTTCCCCCTGCCAGGGAGATGTGTTGTACCTCGAGCCCCTTGTGTTCCCCGGTTGCCCTCTGCCTGCTGGGGCTGCTCATCAGGGAGAAGCCACGCTGGGAGCTTCATGCCATGGCATTCCTTGTGGAGGTGAGCCTGATGGTGAGTGCTGCCTCGCCAAGCTGCCTCCACTTCTCTGCCCTCTCGCAGCCGCAGCTGCCCAGGATGGTGCCGTGCCCTGTGCTGCTGCCTGGGCCCAGCCCTGTGCGGGTGCAGACTGCTGCCAGCTGGGCACTCTGTCACTGCTCCATGCCTTTCAGGTCCTGGACTGCCTAGACATGGCTGACTGCAGTGAAAGCATCCTGGAGATCCTTTCAAGGCACCTACAGAGCGAATGCAAAGAGAGACGTCGCCTGGTGCTGAGAGGCCTCGTGGTGCTGAGCAAGGATTCCATGATGGTAAGAAGGGGCAGTTTGCTGAAGCCGTGCTGGAATCCTGGGGTGGGGGAGTGCAATCACTTGGGCTTGGCTGGGCTTCGGGAGCTGTGGCAGCTGCTGCCAGCTCTGCTGCCTCCCTGCTCAGCTGCCTGAGTCCCTCAGGACAGGCCTTTGGCCTCTGGGGCCCATGGCAGCACGCAGGGCTGCCCCACAGGAGTGGGGTTGTTGCTATAGCCCTTCATGGCTTCCCAGCACAGCCTTGTGTTCCTCACAGGCCAAAAGAATGTGCAGCCTCTCTGAAAGCTTTGTGGAGCTACTGCAGGATGTGGATGTAGAGGTGGTCGGGATGGCCTTGCCGATGTTCATGAATATGCTGCAGAACAAAGACATCCTAATCTCCAGGCCCACTGCCCCGAAGCTGGCTGAGGCGCTCCAGCCACTCTTTGACAGCGTAAGGCTCTGTGCTCCTAGCCAGGGGTGCCAGGTGCTGCAAGGAAACTTTGGGCCTTGTGGATTTTCAGGCCTGTGCCCAGGGCCTGGAGCAGCTGGTGCTGAGGTCTTTTCCTCTTCCTTTCCATCAGGACAACAGCCATGTGCAGGTCCTCTCCATTCGCCTCTTCCGAAAGGTGATGGAGTTGGTAGTGGCTGAGGGAAAGAAGCCCCTGGAGAGATATGTGAGCCAGAGCCTGTTCCCACTCTTTTTGCACTGGCATGAGGAGAAACAGGGACTGGCAGAGGTGAGGACTTTCTTGACTCTGGTGTCACTGTGGAAGGGGGCTGGGCTGTCTCCTGCCCTGGCACCTCTAAGGCTCCAGTATCCTCCTGGCCTTGGTCCAGGGACACAGGTCCTGTGCCCTGGGCTGCGGTGCCATCTCCTGGACTCTGTTGCTCTGCAGGCCTCTCAGGAAGCTCTGCTTAGTGCAGCCAAGTTTCTGAAGAGGAGGGATCTCAATCAGCTGCTGAAGACAGAGCAGCCATTGAAATTTAGCGAGCGCCTGGTAAGGATGGCCCCGAAGCCCCAGTCCCTGAAAAGGCCAGTCCCCTTGGCAGGCAGCGCCCGGCCAAGGGGTAGAGCCCCAGTCAACCCTTCCCTCCGTGCCCTGCTGCTCTCTCCAGCTGGAAAAGTGGCCGAGTACCTGCACCAGGCCCTGTGGTACCTGGAGAGCCCACAGGAGCCCCTGCGAGAGGCGGCCCTCAAGTTCATTGGTGAGCCACAAGGTCCCTCCCCGCCCCGCTGCAGCTCGGCCCCAGCCCCGGCTGCTGCAGCGGCAGCAGGATGCGGCCCAGGGATGTGCTGGGGAGCCCCGAGTGCCCTGGTGGCTGCTGCCGCCCTGTGCCAGCCCAGCCCTGGGGAGTCCCGAGGCGGGAAGGCCTCGGGCTCAGCCCTGCCAGGGCAGGAGGGTGCGTGGTCGGGCCGGCAGCGCCGCTGGGGGGGAGCTGTGCCGCTGGGGCCCTGACAGGATCTGTGTTCCCAGGGATGGCCGGGAGGTACCTGCGGGGACAGCCTGAAGAGCTGCAGGACATCATCGTGAGGGCAGCGCGGTGTCAGCAGGGGCTGGCGGGAGGAGCACGGAGCCTGGGCAGGGAGCTGCAATCCTGCCCTGGCTCTGGAGGGCTCTGCTCTGTGCAAGGATGAGGGACGGCTTGGGCAGAGCAGAGAGAGATTTCAGGGGCACGGGGGGTATTGGTGGCCAGCGCCTTCTGGCTGATCCCGTTGGACCCTGCTCCCCCTGGCCATGGCAAGAACTGGGTGAGATGGCCCTGGCTGGAGGAGCTTCTTGGGTCGCCACAGATCCAGGCTCTGACCTTGGCTCTGTTCCTCCCTGTTGCAGCTCTTCAGGGTCTGAGCAATGACACCAGCCCCACCATCTAAAGCCTGGCGCTTCAGAGCTGCTCTGTGATCGAAGCTGTTCAGAGAGCTGCATCCCCCCCAGCTGCAGCAGCTGCCAGACTGGCTGTGTGGGGCCTGCCAGAGCTGTCCTGCTCTGCGGGGCAGTTTCTGGCTGTGCTGCCAAAGCTCTGGGGAGGCTTGATGTGGGAAGCGGTGTCTGCTGGGGCCATGTGAGCCTGCGAGGAAGACCCCTGCTGTGGAAGCACTTCCCTCTAGTCCAGCATAGGAATATAAAATTCCTCTTGCTACACACAGAGGCTCAGGAGTGTTTTTTGGTGCCCAGTTTGCACAGGGCATTGGGGAAGAGGGGAAAAAGGGTCCTTGTGCTCAGCAACACTTGCCCAGGTGTGCAGTGAGAAGAGAAAGAGCCCTAAGTCCCCTTGGCCTTTGGTGGTGCTGTGCTGAAGCCTCCAAGCTTGCAGCAGAGCAGCTGGGCAAAGGCTGGAGCTGTGGGGATCCCTGAGCCAAAGGTCCTTGGAGATGGCCAGAAGCCCTGTCCCAGGCAGGAAGTGCCATCTGTGTCCTGCCCAGGTGTTGGCCGGCTGCTGTGGCGCTTGCCCGGGGCGTCTGCCGTGCCTGCGGCAGAAGGGCTGGAGGCCTGGGCAGGAGGGTGAGGACAGCGTTAAGGGGGCCAGGCTGGCCTGGCTGGGGACAAGGAGGGCAAGGGGTCCCTGGCAGGGCATGTCTGCTGGGTGCTGCCGGCCAGGGGCAGGGGCAGGGCTGTGGGCCAGCCTGGGCCCCCGCAGCTGCCCAGGCCATGGGGCTGTGTCCCAGAGCTCGCTGAGCCAGAGCTCTGGGCCCATAGAGCTGTCACGACCATGTGGAGGCTGATTGACTCTGAGCACAGCACTGCAGCAAAGGTATTCCCTTGTGTATCTTTCCTTTGTGGAAACAAACCAGTGGAAAACTCAGGTCCTGAACCAACCTCATGAGAGGGAGAGCAGCCGTGCCTGATTTCCAGCAGCGTGTGCTGAATGCACCGAGCTCCTGCAGCCTGGCCATGGAGACTCTGCTATGCGAGGCAGAGAGAGCTGCCTCAGGAGAGTAGCACCTTGGCCCTGCTCCACCAGGCACCAACCTCTTTCTCTGTTGGGCAGTGTGCCCTCACTGAAAGGTGAGTACCCAAGGGGTGGGTGCTGCAGGCTCTTCCCTGGGAGCAGAAGCAGTCCCTGCCTGCCTTGATTCCTGTGGCAGCTCGGTTCCTCTTGGAGTGTGTACTCCCAAGATAAGCATACACTGGGACATGGACAGAGCTCTCCCGTCCTTCAATCTAAAAATGACTGTGGACCCCCACAGGGAACCATGGACAGGTAAGCAATGCTCCAGTAGGCAAATCTGGTTTAAAGAGCTGCATCCCGGGCATTGCTTTGCCACCTCCCAACACACAGCTCCACAGCTCCAGAGGGGACCCATTTGCAGCAGCCAAGACGGAGGTCTGCTCCAGGAGCGAGGAAGCTGCCTCTGCCCCAGGAGGCTACCATGTAAAAACGCTGAGAGGTCCAGAGACAGAGAGTGACTGAGCAGTACAGTCTCCCCATGTCGCACCCTTCCTATTGGAAGGGGAGCAGGAACTGAGAGTACAGGGCTGCATCATAGTTTGGTCCAAGGGAGGTACTTCCCCATAGTTTTTCCTTATTCTTTTGAGCTCTCACAATATGACACTAAGCTGGGGGGGACTGTTGATCAGCTGGAAGGCAGGAGGGCTCTGCAGAGGGACCTGGATAGGTTGGAGAGTTGGGCTGATTCCAATGGGATGAGGTTCAACAAGGCCAAGTGTCAGGTCCTGCACTTTGGCCACAACAACCCCATGCAGTGCTACCAGCTGGGGACAGAGTGGCTGAAGAGCAGCCAGACAGAGAGGGACCTGGGAGTTTGGATTGATAGGAAGCTGAACATGAGCCTGCAGTGTGCCCAGGTGGCCAAGAAGGCCAACGGCATCCTGGTCTGGATCAGGAACAGTGTGGCCAACAGGTCCAATGAGTGATTCTTCCCCTGTACTCAGTGTTGGTGAGGCCACTCCTGGAGTACTGTGTCCAGTTCCGGGTCCCTAGGTTCAGGAAGGATATTGAGGTCCTGGAGCAGGTCCAGAGGAGGGCAATTAGGCTGGTGAAGGGACTCAAGAACAAGTCCTATGAGGAGAGGCTGAGGGAGCTGGGGTTGTTCAGCCTGGAGAAGAGGAGGCTCAGGGGAGACCTCCTCACTCTCTACAACTCCCTGACAGGAGGTTGTAGCCAGGTGGGGGTTGGTCTCTTTTCCCAGGCAACTATCAGCAAGACAAGAGGGCATGGTCTCAAGTTGTGCCAGAGGAGGTTTAGGTTAGATATTAGAAAGAATTTCTTTACAGAGAGGGTGGTCAGCCATTGGAATGGGCTGCCCAGGGAAGTGGTGGATTCTCCGTTCCTGGAGATTTTTTAAAAAGAGACTGGATGTGGCACTTAGTGCCATGGCCTAGTAACTGCAGCGGTAGTGGATCAAGGGTTGGACTTGATGATCTCGGAGGTCCATTCCAACCCAGCTGATTCTATGATTCTATGAATACTGAAGCCCTTGTATTTCTCTGTATTTAACAGACAATTTTCCAGTGAGTTGGCTGCTCACAGTTTTTCTCTGTTTCACCACAAAATCGGTTGTAAGTTGTTTTTGGGTCAAATCCCAAGATCTCTCTTTCCTCATGGATTCGGAAGGAAAATGTTGAAACTGAGGTGCCTATAAAATACCTGTGAAAAAGATCAGAAAGGGTTTGTGAAGGGGATCAAGTTTTTAAAATGCGAGTAATTGATTTCAGTCCAATGAACTTTACTGTTCATTGAAATGATATGATAATGAAATGATCATCATCTCTATACACAATATAACTATTATACATCTATTATATACATCGCAATTATATATCTTATATGATTTGTAAAGAACTACAGCTGGGTCAAAAATCACATCCAGTTTTGTGACAGTGACATTAAGATTTGGCTCCTCAAATAAAAAGTCAGGTTCACTACCTTGCATGTGCACAAATCCACTGGTCAATCACAGCCAAGCCCCCATCCTTATAGAGTTCCAGCTCCTCCCAAGAGGGTTCAAACCTCACCATCTCAGGCAGCAGTTTCTTGAGCAATTCAATCTCTGAGAAAAGGAAAGACACAATTTTATCTTGACATTATGAAGAACAACCCACTGCTGTCATGTGATGTGTTTGAGAAAACCCTGGGTGAAGATTTACAAAGCAAGTGACACCAAAATCCACCGAGAGATTTTACAACACAGTAATTCAGAGAGTGGTGGGTGGGGAGGGGAACCGGTGGGGCAGGAACACAGTGCTGAGGGGGCCAATTCTGAGGACATGGGGAAGTCTGCAAGGGGTAGAACAGATTAGCCCCATTAGCCTCACTACAGGGCAGGTGTACCGAGAAGCCTTTCTTGGCAGCAAACTTAAGGCTGCAGGTGCCATGCCTTGCAGAGTTATTCTAACATCATGTATCGAAACAGATCCCTCAGTACTACTGGGATGGGAGTGCAGCCCTGGGATAAGGACTGGTGGGGGAAAGCCCACCATTGTGGGTTTCTAAGCCTTGGCCACACACAGCCAGGGGCAGCCAAGGGGAAGGCTGGGTGGGAGACTTCAGAGAACCCTTCCTACCAGCATGTCCAAAAGTCTCTGAAATCATAAGAGAAAATGTGGGATGGAAGAAAGAGGAGAAGGAATAGGCAAATTCAACTCCCAATTCCCCACTGCAGAGACTGTCAAACCTTCCATGGGAAATACTAAATGAATGGTTTGATACCAACTACTCAAGCTGGAAGGATACAGTTGCCCAGACCTGCTCAATTCCCATTCAGTGATGGAGGCATCGATCCCAGTCGTTTATAAAAGTGAAGTGGTAATGGTAGCACTCATTGTCAAAAGTTACCAATCCTGAAGTGAGTGGGATCTACCTACCCTCCTCGACAGCATCAGTGGCTACAAAAACTTTTTCAAGTTTAAGCATCTCCAAGAGGCTGCGGATTTTCTTTACTGCTCCTTGCAGGGAAGGCACATCTTCTCTGTGACCCCAAATGAAGTCTTTCCTTCTGAGATGAACCCCAAGGTATGGACCACCTAGAGCTGTGCCCGTCTTAACCTACGAGAGAAAGACCACTAAACTTTAAAACTTGAGAGCGCCACTATACATTCACACCAAAAAGGCCAGAATGCATCATCTCTGGATAAGGCACTGAATCACTCTAGTTGCAGAAAGAAATTTCAAAATAAGGACTGGGAGTAGTTTGGGACACTCGTTGCAACGTTTTGATCTCCGGATGGCCTGCATCACACAAGAGAAACTAGAGCATGAAGTCTTTGTAAGCAAAAACTGCTCTCCTTGACCAAATAAATCCTCAGCTGGCAGTTTGCAGCTGAACTTCCCATCCACTCATGACACTGAATGCAAGAAGCAATTCAAGTTTCCTTTACCGAAATGAGGACAGCAAAGATCTGACACCCAGAACCAGGCACCCCTCAACAGACTCCGTTAACTCATGGCACACGGGGAGAAGGTGTACAAGGAACATGCCTGTCTGCCCTGGTGTGAGCAGGAGTTAGACTCACCTGTGTCTTCCAACACGCCCTGCAGCACACAGCCAGGAGTACACAAATGAAGTAAAAACTACATTTCTTATGGGAAACAGACTGTCATGATTTTACCTTCATCTGTGTCCAGTCCTCCTTGTAATGAGTCCTGTCTGCCTCATCCGTGGATTGAAGATACTTCCTTCTAAACTCGTCTCCCACCACACGGAGGTGTTTAGCAAACACCATGCTTCGACGGGTCTGGGGGAATAAGAGCAGAGGCCAAGTCAGAAAAAGGGAGAGCTAAAAATGAGGAAATGGAGATAGCTGCACATACGCAGTACTTCAGAATGTGGTAACTTCTGGCATGTTCATGCAGCAATATAAGCAACAATTTCTAACCTTTCATCCAAGACGTAACTGTTTAATTCTAATTACAATCACATTTATAACCAGCACACTCAACTGCCCCTGCAACACATAGGTGTAGGGAGTAGACTGCAGTTATTTACACAACAGAACACATAATATACCAAATTAAACACTCTAGCAATGTACCTCACTTTTGGAAACAAAAGCTGGGCAAAGACTTTAGTTTGCAAAACACCTGTAAGAATAAAACCTGCTTTAAAAAAAATTAAGCATCTAGCCACAGACATTCCTGTCAAATTCAGTGGAAAAGTGACGAAAAAGGGTTATGTCCTTAACCTACGGATAACAACCCTTTCCAAGTTCCTGTGATGCAGTTACCACTACACACAGTCATACATAGCCCTTTTATTAACAGGCACACACAACAGAATGAAGGAAATCCCAGCACTTACGTTGCTTACAGAGAACACTTGGCAGTTTGGTCTAATTCTTCATTTTATGCAAGTCTACCGTGTGATGGGCACCAAAGAAATGCAACAAAAAGACTCCAGGCCTTTTCTGCTTTCCCTATTAAACTGTCTTTATCTCAACCCATGAATTTTCCAGCTTTTACCCTTCCAATTCTCTTCCCAATCCTGCTGGTGGGGGAGTAAGTGAGCAGCTGCCTGGGGTTTGGTTGCCAGCTGGGGTGGTTTCACCCCATCCCAAATCCTCCAGCAAAACACTGACATCAGGGAGGATGTACACGCTGTCTGCTGCAGAACACTCATGCTGCAGTTCAAAGAGAGATTTTTCCTCCCTGTCAAGTCAGGCCATGGGATACCTTCCCCGAGGTGTGATGAATGGTATGCCCAAGAGGCAGCAAACCCATGGCAGTGCAGGGCAATGAACATCTTTGGATGCTATGCTTGTGTCAAACATGCCTGAGCTTCATCCTGTTGGACTGTGTGATGGCCACACCACATTTGGCACCCAGGCTGTATTGCTGTGCCGAGCCTCTCCCAGGCACAAACCACTCCCCTGACAGCAGCTGGTCTGTGTGAACACTTATTTTGCAACAGCACATGTAAAAAACAGGTGAATGTGTGAGCTCCGCTGATACACTTCAGGAAGTGTGTGCTCTCTGTACCTGGTTCCCCTTCTCTTAGAAGAATATTTTTCAAATCTGCATGTCTGATACTGCCACTCTTTCCATATTTCTCCCTTTTTGTCTGCAAAGAAACAGAGAAGGGAAAGATGCTTCTCAGAGGGGTATGGAAAGAGAAGAGGCCCTGGGCCCAAGCTGCAGTGAGTGACTTTCTGTTTGGACATCAGGCAAACCCACTGAGGCAACATTTAAAGTGCCACTGCTAAGAAATGTGTGTTACGGATCCACGTGGATTTCAGGTCTGCTTTTACAGGACTACAGGTCAGACTCAAAAATGATCGGTGGGCTGCATTTCTCTGTTTGGAAAGTCACTCTCAGTGAAAAGTACAAGGTTAGAAAACTACTGTTTGGTCCATTTCTGAAAAATATGCTATATCCCAAGTGAACAGCTGTAGAGGGCTGGCTAGCAGACAAGGACATATGGATATAGCTAAAGCTATGGATGAGCTGTTAAGAGTATAGAACAAGGCCTGTCTAGGCCTGTGAGAAGATCTGAGATAGCAAGGCCATGGCAAGGCTACAGTGTTTTTGTGCCTGCTAGTTGGCTGGTAAACAGGATGTTGTGATTAGCAAAACAAAAGCAACTAAGAGCCACCTGTGTCAACAAAAGAAGGGAGTAAAAGTGAAATCAACATTTAAGCAAGAACCAATAATGAGCTTAGCTTCTGCAATATGTATGAGCTAATTATAAAGTGTATATTAAGCTGTCAGCAGTGATCAATAAACGAAGTTTGCTGATTCTCATATTGAGCGTCCCTCTCTTCCCTCGTCGCGACATAATGGCGCCCGAAGCACGGGACGATACACAAGGATTCTGCTGAGTTGTGCACGGTTCCCGCGGTCCCCGAAGCTTGCACGGGGGCTAAGTTATATCTGCGGTCCGAGGGACTAAGTTGAATCTGCGGTCCCCAAGACCTGAACAGAGGCTAAGTTAAATCTGCACTCCCCGAAGCCACGGTCCAACGCAGTAGCCGGTCGGTCTTGCAGCAGCACAAGAGGCAAAAGAGCTGGACTCCGTGCCCCGAGCGACCTCATAGGAGGGTCTTGGCCGACAATGCCGCCGACATCTTCAAAGGGCTGCAACAGCGCGCTGAAGATTTATAGGTATGGAAAGACAAGCGGTGCTTTTATTACCCCAGTGCTTTTTAGAAAAGCGGGGACTTAAGGGTATAGATTTGAAAAAGGAATTACCAGGATTGCTTGCGGCGGGGGTTGCTAAAGGTTGTTTTGCGGACCCTAATACAGTTTTTGATGAAGGGGACAACTCTTAGCCAAAGAGGGATCTAATGTCGCATCTATATGGAAGTCTATCCTGCTTAAAAAAGAGAAAAATTAGACGAACTGGCTTTGCGACAGATGCTGCTTTCGTGTAAGGGCCAGGGAGTTGAAGTGAACGCTGTAACTGCCTTTACTATCTCTACTTGCAAAGAACCTAGTGATAAGCTCTTTACTGCTGCCTCTAAGGGAGAAAAAGTTGCTGCTTCCCTCCTTACAACTTGGTGATTGTTATCTGGAACAGTAAAAGACATTAAAGTACAGTTTGAGGACATTAGAATGCTACTAGATGCCATCATACGGAGAAATCGTGCAAAAAGGGAGTCGAGCGGAGCCGAGGGGAGCCGGAGTGGGACAAGAGATCACGGAGCGGGGCCGGGGACAGCTGAGCGGCCCCGGCAAAATGAACGCGGTGCTAGCATCTCGGCAATGCATATCCAGTACGATCGGGGATGACGGTTGCGGCGTGAAAGTACTGCTGATGGACCGGGGATGAACTTTACGAACACTATGACTGAGTTGCACCTTAAGATATTTCCAGCTTTTCATCTGAACTGTGCTGCGGGACTGCGCCGCGCATTTGTGGCTGTGTTCACGGTGCTGGGTGCTTGCGCCGCCGTGCTGAGTGAACCCGGGGCGGTGCCGGGCAGCGGGGCAGTGGCGGTGGTCGCGGTGCCGTGCGCGGCCCCGGCTCGGAGCGGCGCCGTGCACGCCGGCGGCCCCGGGTGCGGCGAGCGGCGGGGGGGCTCTGTTTCCCCGCACTGCTGACAGCCATGGTCCCAAGAGGTGTAGGTTCCCCTTCCCTTCTTTACAGCGAATGTTTTCTCCCTAGTGCCGCTCCTCTTCTTAGAGTGGCGAGTTAATGACGGTAGCAAAGGCTTCAGGAGGTGCAGTTGGGGGAGGGGGGGGGGATGCTGTTTCTCTTTTTTCCTCGTTACACCAATCACCCCCTCTCTGAAACGTGCCTGTTTGCAGCTGTTTTCTCCCTCTCCTATGTTTTTGTCTTTTCTTAAGCAGACCCTGTGATTAGGTTAAGTTCCTTCTGCTGATCTTCTCTGGGTGAGCCCGGCCCCTCCTCTCCCTCCTTCGTCCTTCGGCAATGAGGGGTTTGAGGGGGGCAAAGACGGTAAAGCACGGTAAAAGGGGAAAAGGGAAAAAACAAAAAATTAACAATACCCCACTTTATAAATCAAATGAGATTGCACTGTTTTTACAGCAATAGGTGTTACGCACGCAGCGTGCTCATGGCATTCTCAAACCTTTTCTTCAAAAGCAGAAAGGGAGACTGATGAAAAATCCCTTGAAGTAAGATTAGAAATAACGCAACATCCGTGCTTAGCTTTTTATATATTGCAGAAAGTTGTTAGGAGTTTCCTATAGTTTGCCATTTTGCTTCTCTTACATGAAATTTAGCTGTTTCCCCCGGGGCAGAGTGCGGGTAGAAGGTTTGCAGATGGAACGATGAGATAAAAGGGGATATAGTTCTGCCCCCTGCAGAAGTAGTTTTATTGCCTTTATGCAGAATTTGCAGATTGCTGTTGGCAGCTATGCCATAAATTTCCTCTGAATTATGAAACTGATAAGAAGCACACAGCCAATGACTACTTGAAAATGTGTGTGTGAATGATGGATGACTCAGGTGGCCACCTAAGAGTGTATGGAAAAAGATTGTGTGAAAGAGAAAAGCTACATGAATGTGTAACTGTGTAAACTTAAAAATACTTTCCGTCGGTGTCGAGATTTTAACAAGGTGTTAAGACTGAAGTTAAATAAGAGATTCTTACAAAAATTTGGTATTCTATTACAGCCTTGTATGAAATTTATGCAAGTTAAGTCACAGGTGGAGTTTTTTCACTGCTGATTGTTCCTTAGCTGTGCGAGCTGTGCAGGAGACCACTAGTTTTAGAGCAAGTAAAAACCATAAGCCAGCAAACATTAGTGCAGACTGCAAGGTTAGCAGAGCCCGGAGCAAGGTGCACCACTATGCATCCAGGTGCCCGGGAACCATTCTTACAATTCGTGGAAAAGCTGCAAGACGCTGTAGAGAAACAAGTTTTGTGACAGTTACAGAAGCTGCTAGTTACATAACTAGCTAGAGATAGTGCAGGCTTGTGCCGGGGTGAGGTCCTTAGACCATCAAATAATTGCATTTGCATCTGCTATGGCAGTAGTGAGGGTCGTTTTGAGTTTTTCTGTGTTTTCCGGGATTTAAATCAGGAGTTGTCAATGCTGCTGCCTTGCTTGTTCAGCTCGTTGCAGGGGGGCCCTTGCAGACTGTCAAGGCTATCCTGCGTGCCTTCTCAAAACATCTACAGTGTTGTGGATAGTGTGTCTTCAGGCCTCCTGGCTGGAGGCCAGAGCAGACCAGTTAAGTTGATCAGTGTGACCAGAGCTGAAGTGTTGTTTTAAAGAGTCCTTATATATTGTCTCCAAAACCCCTCTCGTGCAACAGCTGGTAGCAATATTAATTGTAAAACGGCTAGTCTCTCCTCCTTAAAACATGCCCTACTCATTGCAGCTGTGTTCTCAGCAAAATAACCTCACTACTTGTGACTACTACTTGTTTCATACCAGACGTATTGCTTGCATAATTTGACTAGTGAATGTTTAGGGTTGTACGAAGGCAACCTGTACTCTTTGTGATGCTCAAAGCTTGCTGTTAATTGTCCAAACAAACAAACTTCTGTAGTCATTCCAAGGGTTAGGATTGTGATGCTGATTACATTGAACCGTCTCAGAATCCTTTAATTACCCCTGTGTTTGTGATTAAAAAAAAAAAAAAAAAAAAATGAAAACCATTGCATGATCTCAGATGGGTTGGTGCAGTCATGGTTAGTAAGCATTGGCTTACTGACCCCTTCTGTGCTTTCTGCTGAATAACCCATTGATATTATTGATTTGACAGGTTATCTTTTCACAATCCAGTTAGATCCCAGTGACAGAGAAAAAAAAAAATTTACATTTTCAGTTTCATCTATTATTCGTGCAGAACCTTATGAGTGTTATCCATAGAAAACCCTCTCCCATGGAATGAAAGGCTTTTCTATAATTTGTCAGTGGTTTATGTTTCCAACATTATTCCCTGTACTAATGCAATTTTCTGACTGTCTTTTGTTGTTATTATATAGATGGTATTTCTGATGGCTGTAGCCACTGAGGATCAGCTGGGTGTGTTGGACGCTGAAACCAAAGAGAGTCTACAATTCTTTGGTCTAGTAGTTGCTCCTGACACGGTGCAGTGAAAAATACCCTGGAAATATTTAGGGTTCACGTACACAGAAAGCAGTCATTCCTCAACCAGTTCAATTGGGTATTAATGTTAAAACTCTTACTGACATACAGTAGCTATTAAAGTCTTTGAATTAGATTGCATCGTACTTGCAATTGCCAAACACCCAGCTGGCACCTCTATTTGACCTGCTCAAACATTCTGACAATTTTCAGAAGCAACAGTTGCAGGAGTGGGTGGTCTTACTCTGGCAAAAAGATCCCCTCCAATAACTATAACAGGTCAATCGTCCTTTTGTTTGTCTTTAACATCTGCCTCAGATCCTTTTCGCACTTGTTTATTTGGCATGCCTTTTAGTTCAGTATACAAGTTGAACTTAGTGTTTACTGGTTGGGTTTTATCGTAGTGTGAGAGTGAAACAGTTATTTCTAATGCATCTGCCTGCCTTCTAAAGGCTCTCAACACCTCTTTACCCTGGGATCCCCAAGAGTTAGATTTAATAGGATCACTGTCTGTACGTAACACAAGTGGTAATGGGACTCAAACCTGTTTTATGTTGGGATTATTTCAATCTGGGTTAAGTGTTTATCAAAGCCACGACTTGTCCAGCTGGACTAATGTCACTTCACATACCCTAGGGTTTAATTACAAAAATACAGGAGACTGTTGTGGTACTAATAATAGTAACGACCAAGGCCTTAGAGCATATGGAGCTGAAGTAAGGCCCTCCTCTCCAAGCATTTGGGTTAACAACACTGCACGCTCTTTTCCATCAGGTGTGTTTCTTATTTGTGGTGACACAGTAGCAACTAGTCCTATAGACTCGTGGCTTCAATCTATTTTTGGTTCTATGTCTGAATAGGTTTTAAGTTTTGTTAAAGAAAGCCTACGATGGTTGTTAACAATTGTTGTAGTTTTAGTGATAGTTCGTATTGCTTTTTCTTGTATTGTTAAACGTGTAAATGCTATGACAGAGAAAGTATTGTTGGCCTCAAATAAAAACGGGGGTATTGCAGAGGGCTGGCTAGCAAGACAAGGACATATGGATATAGCTAAAGCTATGGATGAGCTGTTAGAGTATAGAACAAGGCCTGTCTAGGCCTGTGAGAAGATCTGAGATAGCAAGGCCATGGCAAGGCTACAGTGTTTTTGTGCCTGCTAGTTGGCTGGTAAACAGGATGTTGTGATTAGCAAAACAAAAGCAACTAAGAGCCACCTGTGTCAACAAAAGAAGGGAGTAAAAGTGAAATCAACATTTAAGCAAGAACCAATAATGAGCTTAGCTTTTGCAATATGTATGAGCTAATTATAAAGTGTATATTAAGCTGTTAGCAGTGATTAATAAACAAAGTTTGCTGATTCTCATATTGAGCATCCCTCCCTCTCTTCCCTCGTCGCGACAAATAGCCAGATGCTCACATCTTACAAGACTGAGATCTGTGTAACTTGTTTTGTAGTGTCATAAGAGTCATTTTCTCTTAGCAGTTTTAATTATATCAAGCACTCCACATAATTTTCCTGTGGCTAAGCCTTAACTTTTTCTTAAAACTTTTAGCATAGGAATTATTTTACCATACACCCTTGGGAGGTGACCAGTTACCTTGAAACCCATGGGAATTTCGCCATTGAAGATGACAGGGAGAGAGCTGGGACAATACTGAGCACTTCTGGGAATTCTTTTGAAAAGTCTAACCTTGAGGTTGACTAACAAGAAACTGCTCCCCTCTGACTGTAGATATGTCGTACAGGGGAGGGCCTTCTAAACACCATGCCCTGCAGCACTGGGTCTTTAGGGACAAAAGAGGACAAATTCCTGCGTTACATTAATCCACAGCAGCTTGAGGACCATCTCTAGCACACTTTGCTGAAACATAAGACACAAGTTACTTCCAAGAAAAGAAACCTGAGGCAAAACTCAAGCCCACAGAAGTTACTGAATATTTAGCAGAGGCAAGTAAAAAGTCCAGAGAAACTAACTGAAAAATACTCACATTCCAGTAATCTTTCCCTCCGTAGTGGTCATGAAGAAGGTTTTCAGCTCTGTCTAACATCACTGACCTATTAAAAATGGTAAAACTGAGTGCAGTTCCCTTAGAAATAGAATTTACATTATACCATGTGTTTATACATTTGCTAGGACAAAGCACAGGCTATGATCTGTTTGCAAAGGGAGCACAGGGAATGAGGGACAGGCTGCCAATTTGTTCTCTAGAAGGCAAATTGTGACCCACAGCCCACTGGAGGGAGAAGGGAACCGTGCTGCCACTGGCCAGGATTACAGTGGAACTCCTACAACAGAAGAACATTCCTGTTAAAAAACAGCACTTTGCTTCCTCTGCTCCCCGTGGGAAGTACTACAGATCCCCACTGCTCTCATCAGAAAGACAAAACTTGCTGCTTGCCTTCTCTAAACCCAGCTCACAGCAGTGAGGATGGATGCCACAAGAGACCAGGCACTGCACCTCACCATCTGAGATCCCGGCCTGAGAAACACCGATTCCACTCTGTTTATTCCCTCTTGACCCAGCACCAGGTAAAGAGTAAAGGAAGGAAAGGCAAACACAGGATGGCAAGGACATTTAGCTACCTGAGAGAGAATTTAAAGGAGCTAAAGGCTATTTCCTCTTACATTTTAGTGCTGTAGCACTTCACCAAATTCACAGTTAAGCATTTCTGACAGTGTAAATCCCTTCTGCAATGATTTCAATGGTTTACAGCAACTCAGCGATGAAGTAGCACAACAGCGGGATACAGCCTTTAAGTTCCCCCTGCTCTTCACACCTGGCAATAGGTTTGTGGGCACACAAGACAACAATAAATAGTAAGACAAGGCAACTCACTGTGCTGAAGTGTTCTTCAGAAGGATGGGCGCCACAACGGAAGCAGATCCTTGGACAGACAAACAAGAGACGGTTAGGCCTCGTGTTTCCTCGTAACCCCAGAACCAGCCCCTAAAAGGGAACACCAAGGATTGGTTCACAGGCATGTATTTTAAATTAACGTCATATACATAAAAAAAAAAATAAACAGTACATCCTATAAAGACAATATATAATGCCAGCAAAACAGCCACCTCCTTTTTACCGTTTTTGTGTGGAACAACAATTTTCTAAAGTTAGATTTTCTCATATCAATACATCTTATTATTTATGGTTTTTTTTAAAACCGTGAACCCCAAGCATTCAGGGATTCACAGATAACATTGCAACAACCACACCAGTCTATTCTGTTAAAAGCAGGCAACTGTCTCACTGAATACCACTGAAAAGAAGATCAAAAGGACTGCTAGATGTTACCTGTAGTACTCATGTTTGTCCTTGGAATACATCAGCTGATCAATGCATGGCCTTTCATTGATTTTTTCTTCCCATGTTCCTTCTTTCCATCCTTCTGTGTAGCCTTGTAGCACATAAATCTGTTCAATAAAGGGCCCACCTGACTCTGAGGAGAAGGCAAAGCAAAGGATTTGTGAGCACGAAAACCCACACGAGAAAGGTATGAACTAGCATCACTTGCAGTTAAAAATCTGCTAGAAATGCCAGTATGACACTCCTCTCTCTTCCCTTCTTTCTCTCTAAAAAATGGAAAATAAATTCTGTGTGAGCCAGAAAAGTTGAAAGGGTCAGGCAATGTGACGACCTGTTACTCCCACCCAGCTCTGCATGATGTAATGTGCCAAACACAACGGTGTGACCATGGGAGTGCAAACCTATGGTCAAAACCAGGCAGAAATCTCTGAATTTAACCACATGTGTTAACCGTCTGTCTCTGGGGACCATAGGAAGTTGACATCAAAGAAGTTGCGAAATAATTGGAATATTTCATCCTAATGGTTTTGTAACTCAGTAAAACTCCTTGCCAGCCATTCTCTCACCCCCTCAAACCTTTTTATTATTTCACATATAAGGCTAAAAGCCCTCTGTAAGGAAAAATCTGTGAAGAAACCATCTGAAATATTTAGTCAATTGTAGAACTGCATGATCCTATACTCCACCTGCAAGGAACTGCTCATATTCAATGACAGGGATGTTCCTGTTGAGGCTTGGGATATCAAAGAACTCAGACCAAGGAATCCGGACCTGAAGGATATCGGGGCTCTGCCAGTGATAAAGCCTCCCCCAAGGAGGCAGGACTAACACCCAGTTTTCACTTTTCCGCAGGGTCTTTACAAGGGAAGCAATGCGAACGTAGACGTCTCTGCGAAGGTTGAACCCTTCAGGGGGATTTACATCGTACAAAAGGTATCTGGGGAAAAAAAAAGGAATGCCATTACTTTGGGGACGAGCTTGAAACTTTTACATTTACCCCCCGATCACATGATGCAAACTCTGTTGGGATGGAAACTGTTCCTCTTTCGTGAGTTTGTGGCACTCAGAAGGTGGAAGGGGAAGAAGTAAGGGAAGGTAGAGCAGCGTGTGCTGCAGGGGCTGGGAGGGCCACTGTGTTCTCCTCACAGGGCATCATCAAAGTGGCACATGCCATGAGCCTTTCCTGCAGTGGGGCAGGATGTGGTGGGCCAAGGAGTGAAGCCCTCAGACGTCTTGCTCACCCTGAGAGCAACGTGCTGTGTGTGGTGAGAACAGTGAAACTACTGGTGTGTTACCCAGGCTAATTCGTGTGAGATGAACATAAAGGCAGGAGGACACATTCCAGAGGAGCAGGGGAAAAGGGTGCAACTGGGAGTTGGTGGGTTCCCTTGATGACATCTTCCAGAATCGACCCAAAAAAGCACTAGCAGGTGAAGAAGGCCCTTTACCAAATCACGGTTCAGAGACACAGTGGGTCACCTGCACAAGGGACCCACCATGTCCCCTCAGGAGCCATGAGGGGCATGTGATGCTGGTGGGCAGGATCGACCTGGGGCTGGACACGGTGGGGGCCAGCAGTGCTGCCACTTCTCATGTTGGAAATACTATAACTTTCCTAAATTTTAATTAATGGCAGCCAGAGGCTAGGTTTCTTTGCACAGACTCTTGACAGTTTGCTCTTTGAACCACTGAAGCTTTGAGTTTCTCTGGACTAACTCCAATAAGTTTCAATAAACAAAAGCCTGAGGGAGCTGAAGATATGGTAAGAGGACCAAGGAACGCGGACTAAATTAGCACTTAAAAGGCTTTGTTGGAGGCTTTTCGCTTCTCCCCGGCGGCGTCCGGCGGCGCTCACCTGGTGCGCGGGGCGGCGGCGGCGGCGGGCAGCGAGGAGGCGGCGTGGCCGGCGCGGAGGGCGGCGGGCGGCGGCTCGGGGGCGGCGGCGGGCGGCGGCGGCACGGCGAGCGCGGCCAGGCCGAGCAGCAGCCGCGGCAGCGACGAGGCGAGGCGACCACGGGGCCCCTGCGCCGCCATCCCCCGCACGCCACGTCCGGGGCGGTCCCTCAGAAGAGGCCGGCGGTGAGGGGCCGCAGCCGGGAGCCAGTAAGGCGGTTCAGCTCCTCCAGGATCTGCGCTTCCTTCCGGTACATCTGCGGGAGCGGCCGCGGTCAGCGCCGCCGGGAGAGCCCCTAGTTAGCGGGGGCTCCGCTCCGCGCCAGCCCGGACCGCGCACGCCCCCCGCGCCCTCCCCCGTTGCGCTCCGCACCTGCTCCCACGCGGGTTTCGTGTCGTGCCGGTAGCCGAGCAAATGGCACAGTCCGTGGGCTGCCGTCACCTGCGCGGGGGGAGAGCACAGCGCGCTGTGTGACTGACCGGCCGCGCCTGCCCGCCCGCCCTCCTGCCCGGCGCTCACCACCAGAACGCCCTCAAAGTCCTCTCCGGCGTCGCGGCACTGCTGGTGGATGTACTCCACGCCCAGGAAGATGTCCCCCAGGTTGTACTCGCCGCAGCAGCGCGGCCGCGGCAACTCCCCCGCCGCGACCTGGTGGAACGGGAAGGACAGGACGTCGGTGGGCTCCGGGCGCTGTCGGTAGGCGCCGTTCAGACGCTGCATCAGCGCGTTGCCGGCGCAGACGAGCCCCACGTCGAAGCGTGAGGCGCCCAGGGCAGCGCGCAGGGCGCATACGGCGCGGCGGAGTGGGGCCCGGCGCACGGGCACAGAGCGCTGAGCGTTCCGCAGCACCACGCTCATGGCGGCACCGGAGCCCCGCCCACCGGCCCGCGAACCAATCGAGATCCCGCCCACTCCCCGAGACACCGCCCATCGCTCCGCCCATGACGGTAGCCCCGCCCATATAACCGCACCCTCGGCCAACTGTCCGCTGCTCCTATTCGCCTCCTGTCCTAGGCATGCGCGGCCCGCCCCGCCCGCCCCCAGCTGTGTCGGCGGTGTGGGGCGGTCGCGTCCACCATGTCCTCGAGGGGCCCGTTCCGCGGCCCGCCCTCCTTCCCGCCATCGCTGCGCTTCGGACAATCCGCCGTGTTCGGCCAGGGCGGCGGTGGCGGCCCCGCCGGCCTCCCCTTCGCCCCCGGGCCCGCCGCTTCCTTTGGGCCACCCTACGCGCTGGGCCCGGCGCCAGCCCCGGCGGGGAACGCCGAGTTCAGCTTTAGGCCGCCCACCAGTCTGGGCGGCTTCCCAGGCCCGGGTGAGGCGCCGGGTGGCGGCGGCGGGGCCTTCGCGGCGCCCGAGTTCCGCTTCAAAGCGCCCGAGAGCGCCGCCGCCGCCCCCTTCAAGCCGGTGCTGGGCGGCGAGGCGGAGAAGGGCCCGGCCGCTCCCTCCGCCTTCGCCTTCTCGCCGCCCTTCGGCTTCGCGCCCGAGCCGGGCCCCGAGGCGGCGGTGGCGCGGGAGCCCTTCTCGTTCTTGCGGCCCGCCGCCGCGCTGGGCCGGCCGGAGGACAGGGGTCCGCGGGCGCTGCCAGAGGAGCCGGGAGAGCCGGCGGCCAAGGGGCTGAAGCGGAAGGAGGAGCGGGAGCGCTCCCCGCGACGGGCGGCGGCGGGCGGGCGGGCGGCGGCGCCGCCGGAGAAGCGGCCGGTGGTGCTGAGCCGGTCCCGCGGCGGGGCCCTGTTCGGCCGCACGCTGGAGGAGATGCTGCGCAGCCAGGCCCGCGAGCACCGCGAGCGCGGGGACGGCGCGGAGCCCGAGCGCGGAGCCGTAGAGGAGCCGCCGCCGGCCGAGGCCCGGGAGCTCCCTCGGGAAGGTGGGCGGGGGTGGTCGTGGGGCAGCCCCGCTTTCTGAGTGCTGTCACCCCTCTTTCTGACTGCCGTCGTGTTCCTTCCCGTCACAGATGCGGCCCCCGCCGCCCCCACCCGCCGGACCCGCGGCGGCGAGAGCACGGAGGGGCTGGGGGGCCTGCCTGCCGCCGAGCTGACGGCCATCCAGTGCAAGAACATCCCTGATTACCTCAACGACAGGACCGTGCTGGAGAAGCACTTTGGCCAGTTCGTAAAAGTCCGGCGGGTCATGACCAGGCGTAATAAGAAAATGGCCATTCTTCACTTTTTTGATCACGTGAGTATCAGAAGTGGACGGCACAAGAGTTGGGAGTATTCAGCGTGCAGAAGTCTCCAGGGATACATTAGAACCTCTTCCAGTACCTAAAGGTGGCTTACAGAAAAGAGGGAGAGTGACTTTTTACGGGGACAGCAGGTAAGGAGAGGACAAGGGCAAACAGTTTAAAGTAAAAGAGGAGTTACTTTTATATTACTTATATGCTAGATGTTAAGAAGAATTTTTCCCTGTGAGGGTGGTGAGGCCCTGGCACAGGTTGCTGTGGCTGCCCCATTCCTCTAAGTGTTCAAGGTCAGGTTAGGTGGGGCTTGGAGCAACCTGAGCTAGTAAAAGGTGTACCTGCCCTTGGTAGGGGGCGGGACTGGATGGTCTTTCAGGTCTCAGCACTGAGGTGTGTTAAGCAGCCAGTTCAGAGACTGCATGATCTGATTCTGTTTTGTGCTTAAAAACACACCTTTGTTTTCAAGTGCCCTAAATTTGCTGTAGCTCTTAGAAAAGCACCATTTTTTTTGCGGGGGCTAGTCCAGCTGATTGTTCTTAAGTGAGAGGCTAAAACGTAGGTCTTAAGTGAGAGGCTAAAATGCAGCAACCAGAATTTTGTGGGAATTGGTAAACGTTTCTCTGGCAATGTTTCTCTTGCTGTGCTGTGAGTTTTGTTGTTGTGGTGCCAGTAGGTTTTCATGCTCTGCTTTTGTTTTCTTTCAGGCCTCTGCAGCTCTTGCCAGGAAAAAAGCGAAAGAGTTACACAAAGACATAGTAACATTTTGGCAAAAGAAGAAGACAAGTAAGTCTGTGTTTTCAGATTACTGGGTGATGGGTAAATAGCATTCTAGCTGCTTTTCTTTTTTCCTGTTGTAGTGAGAATGATATCAAAATTACCTCTAGTAGGAGATATCATGGTTGAAAATTGCACTGTTTCTCTCTTAAATTCACATTGTCTAAAACCTGTTGCTTGATATGAAGCAAAATGCTGTTCAGCCCTACAGAAGAGCTGAAGACACCTGAAATGACTGTAGTTTTAGAAGAGAGTTTAGAAATCCTTTATGCAGCTGCACAGCAGGAGTATGGTGATGTTGACTTTGTGCTTCTGTCTAGAAGTAGGAGTTCTTTGGGGGTGTAAGAAAACCCAGTTTGAAATGCTTTGCTGTCCGCCTCAGACCATGGACTGAGAACAAAGTTAAGGAGTACCTTGGAGCTGAGTGTCTGTTTTGCTGAGGTTGCTGTTATGTGTATCAACAATTAGACTCTGAACCAAAAAAGAGAACAACCTACAGAATTTAGAATTGGGAAACCTTGATTTCAGACCCTGTTTGGGATTAGGAGGAGGTTGTCAATCCCCAGGCAAACACTGGACTTGTCAAGTGCTTCCCTTTCTTTAGCTTTATGAATGCAGCCTGTGTACCTGGTCCCAGCCTGGGGATGCACTTCACCTGCAGCATATGACAGGTTCACTTCAGCTTTGACCAGCCACAGACTTGCCTTCCAGAAAACAGCTGCAGAATTGTCTTCCTGAGAATTAACATCTTGAAGCAGCAGTTCTAGGGCTGCCTCTTTGCCCTTGTCATTTTATTGTGGTGTTACATCCCCAGCAGCATTCTAAAATAACTATTCTGAGAGGATTTAAGAAAGCCAACCCCTTTAAAAATTGTTCCTGGGAGAAGAAATTTTCCCTTCCTGCAAGTGTGAGTGTAACTTGTGCTGACGTTAGTCTGAGCTTGGGTACCTAAGTACATAAAATACTTCAGGAGGAGCACGGGGAATTGTGATTTACACAGGTGAAATGTATTTTGTATCCTGTGGGGAGTTCTGACCTGTGGATTATATCCCAAACCTAAGAGAATTTGGATGATGATCAGACTTCATTTACTGACAATCTGCTGACAACTGGCGTTATTGATAAGTGATATTTTATTGAAAAATACTCTTCATAGAACAGTGACTCTGATAGTAATTGATAGAAATTTAACTTGGTGCAGCTTCTAGTGCAAGTTGTCCTGGAAGTTCTGTATGCATGTACAAAACTGACTCTTAAGTTTTATTTTCCAATAGTATTTTTGTTTAAACAAACTGCTCACCATCCCACCCCCAAGGGACCAAAAAGAGGTGTTGCTTAAGTTGCTTGGCAGGTTTCATGTTTATGTGTCATTTCAGGTCCAGCAAAAAGAGAATTTTCATCCAAGGAGAAGAAAGTAGGGGAAGATGAAGGAAGACAAAGCAGTGAAGAGCAAAGCTATCAGCATTCCCCGCTTCGAAAACCTTTAATAAGATCCTCTGCCAGCAGTGTCATGCCTGGGAGAAGGTATGTCTGCTTCTCTGGGAATCCACCTGGCAGGAAACAGGGTGCACAGAGAAAAACTGTGATCAGTGTGTGCCAAACAGTCATGTTCTCATCAGGGAGTGTTGCTTCCCTTCTCTTCTGGTTTGTCTGCATTACAAGCACACAGCTCTCAGGTCAGAAGGATGCTCCTAGCTGAGTATTAAGGTCTTTCACTTTGGTCTCTGTATTTTCTTTTGAATATTTTGTCCATAACAACGTAACAGGACCTGCAGCACTGAGGCATGAGGGAATTGAATGAAACAATGCAGAGACCAAGCTGCTGGGACCAAGCAGTAGTGACACTGTCACTGGTCATGATTCAACAAGCTCCCGAAGAGAGCAGTTTCCTTCGTAGGCAGTCAGAGTTCTGTAGAATCAGAGTCCCCTTTTCAGAGCAGTTTGGATCATTGTCTTGTCTCACTTGGAGTCATTAGTCTGCACAGGAATCCTCCTGTTTTGTGGCAGACACAGAAGTGGCAAGGTTGTTGTCTTTCTGTCATAGTCAATGCTGTGTCTAGTCTGACAGAAGTAATTTGATACGTGTAGTCATATAATTCTAAAATCAGTAATGTGTTGTGAAGGAATCAAAGTTCCTTAAGTTAAAAGGAATGTTTGTTCTGTAAAATCTTTTAATAATGTCTCTTGCTATGGAAAGCATTTGTTGGGTTTTTTATTTTTTTTCTGCATGCCAGCAGGTCAGTTCCTAGTTTAAAATACAAACTGCTGTACCACAGTGATCAAGAAATGCTACAAGAACCATCTGTTTCTGTTTTTCAGTAATACCTTTTCTGTTGCACAAAGGTTGAGGCTTTCCCCACAGTCCAGAAACGCTTGGCAGCATTGTCAGGGCAGTGCTGAGGATTTAACCAGATTAACTCTCAGTGCTGGTGTTAGCTCAGAACAACCTTAGCACATCCAAATGTACTTCATTTATTTGATATCACAGAATAATAGAATCAGCTGGATTGGAAGGGACCTCCGAGATCATCAAGTCCAACCCTTAATCCACTACCGCTGCAGTTACTAGGCCATGGCACTAAGTGCCACATCCAGTCTCTTTAAAAATCTCCAGGAACGGAGAATCCACCACTTCCCTGGGCAGCCCATTCCAATGGCTGACCACCCTCTCTGTAAAGAAATTCTTTCTAATATCTAACCTAAACCTCCCCTGGCACAACTTGAGACCATGCCCTCTTGTCTTGCTGATAGTTGCCTGGGAAAAGAGACCAACCCCCACCTGGCTACAACCTCCTTTCAGGGAGTTGTAGAGAGTGAGGAGGTCTCCCCTGAGCCTCCTCTTCTCCAGGCTGAAAAGCCCCAGCTCCCTCAGTCGCTCCTCATAGGACTTGTTCTTGAGTCCCTTCACCA